TACGAACCCTTTGTACGAACAAAAGGAAGAGAAATTTAGGAGAAGAATACCAACATGTTCTTGCATGAGGCCCAATGGTTTCAGTCCAGAAGAGTGTGAGTTTAGTTTGGGCTTTAATTCCTGTCAGAACCAGATTAACTTCACCAGCTTTCTTTAAAGAAAGGAAGGAGTTCTCTGGATGCAGTGGGAGTGTGTGTACTAGTATATTTTACTTTTTTAAGACTGTCTCTGGTATACACACCTATCTGGTTAAGACCAGTAGTCCTTATGGGGACAAAAGTCTGGTCCTAATATGGTGGAACTCCATTTTTGGTTTGTGGATTTGACTCAGGTTTGAACTGTGTTTAAGTCAGGTTTAGTGTAGAGATATGACTGGAAATGAATGAACATACAGTACCTAATGAGGCAAAAATACAAGTGTGTGTGTGTGTGTGTGTGTGTGTGTGTGTGTGTGTGTGTGTGTGTGTGTGTGTGTGTGTGTGTGTGTGTGTTGAAAAACCCATGAAACTGAATAAAAACGGTCCGTTGTCCTCAGCCGACCTAAGCTCATCTTCTTCCTTCCTCTTCATCAGTCACATGACCAGCTCTGCTGGTCCAACCTGTCAGAAGACAGACGGTCCCTGAAGGTCCAGTCAGCTGCTGGGACGTTAGTTTTGATGGTACAGCTGTTCAAACATTGAAATGTTTTTCTGTTATCTGTCTGTCTCATGGTTTCTGAGCTCTTTGATTGACACTTTGTTACTTTCAGAAGAAAAGGGGAAGAAGAMGACTGTGGTCACCTGGGAGTTTGGAACACCTGATATTTGGTCCTTACCTGGATGTGGACGTCTTGGATGGAGATGAGGACACCGTCACACCTGGAGGAGGTCTCATTAAAGACCTGAAGGTGTTCAGGGACCACTGGATGATGTAAGATCCCCTCAGGTCACATGATGATGTCTGATCTCCATCAGGAGGAGAAGAATTTTGTTGTGTTTGTGTGATTTGGATAAAAGTGACGACTGTTAGAAGTTGTTCAAACAAAATGTTTCTACACAAAGATGTAGGTTGAATGTTGTAGTTAAAGTGTATTTGTTTTATTTAAAGCTGTGTGAGGAGAACCTGACACTGAGGTTTCCATGTGTTTGTGTTTTCACCAGCAGGTGGCAGTAAAACACCTGCCTCATCATCAGGTCCAGTGATGAAGATCAGCCTCTGATTGAGTTCATCCAGTGAAGAATTACTGAAACTAACAAAACAAGTTATCTTAACTTCACTACAACACACACACACACACATGTTTGTTCTTCTGCCCTTATGGGGACTRCCATTCATTTGTACAGACTAACCTCTGACTCACCAACATCTCCCTCAGTGAGGACCGGGCCTTTGTCCCCATAAGGAACAGTGGGTTCTCACCAGGCTGTGTACTGGGAAAATGGTCCAAACTTGTCCCCACCAGGCAGGAGAAACACACACACACACACACACACACACACACACACACACACACACACACACACACACA